TAAAACGTTTAAYGTTTATTAAGTATTTATTATTGTTATTGAATGAACAATAATGTAGGATATTTAGTGGGAGGTATTGGCCTGATTGGGGAATATATTTACCAAAAGATCGGTACCTATTACAGTATATAAACAAATTTAATGGTGCAAAATCTCAATAGTGGTGTTGACATTCACTAGGTTAGACGTGTATTCATACAACATACAGTAGGTAAGTAAAAATATTAATCACATTATCATATAACATGATATTGTACATATTAATTAGATAGGTTTTAAAATTATGAGTGTATGAAAAACGGTATAAAATCTTATTTTAACTTTATAATAGTTAATAGCATAAATAAAATAAGTACTAATAATAAGTATAGAATAATATAACACATGTATTAAATATTTGAATAGTTATAATTTAATGCAACAATTTTTACCTACAATAATTTACAATTTTCAATTTTCATTAATTAGGTATACCTACGTCTTACATCATATTTTGAGATTTTGTGAACTTGAAATCGAAAATATTGACAAAATATACAGTTTCCTATGTTAATTTAATTTTTAGATTTTTATATTTGTTTAAATAGAACTAGTTGTCTGAAATTTAAATATTCAATTAAAATGGAACAGTGTTTGAACATTGATACACTGAATATTGCAAAAAAAGAACTCAGAGAAGATGAAGCAACACGGAATAATGCTTTAAGTCAAATGCGGTTATGGTTAAAGCAAAATAAAAAAATTATCTATTCTCGTAGTGGTAAATATAATTTTATGTTCCATTGTATATTTCCTATAAATTATAATTACCCAATCATTATTAACCATAAATCTTTTATTAAGTTAGGTACTTTAAAATATTCTAGAGCTCTTAAATTGAAATATTATTATTTAAATATATAACAGCTATGGATTATAGGTACTTATACTTTCTAATACCAACATAATTATTAGGATGTACATGAAAATTTAAACAATTTCATCAACATATATTAAGTAAATACTTACYTATTTAAATATATTATAGATAAATTATGGTAAATTATATTATTATATATAGTTGATACATGGTTATTTGCTTAATAGGGAATATCTGAATATAGCAGCTTACATATACGAGTAGGTACCTACTATAATATTCATTACCTAGCTTTAGTAAATTTTGTTTTGAATTTTCCCATAGGTATAAAATTAAAAAATAGATAAACATTTTATTTTCTTACAATTTATTTATATATGTTGGTTGACAAAACTACCATTATCAAATTGTTGATTCAAATTAGTCACTATTTTCAATTTCATAATCTGAAGCAGAACATTTTTATGAAAATATCAACAAGATACATTATTGACTATTGATATCAAAAACGAAACAATAGTTCTATTTATTTTAATAATTATTATATTAATATGCATCATTATCAAGGTGTGCTTTATTTTCAAAAAAAAAAGAACCTTAAGAACCCATTTAAAGTTCAGGAAATAAGAAATATAGCAAGGTATAGCGATTCCATRAAATATGTGGTTGTATTTGGTTAATTTGTACCTGATTTAAATAAGGTAWKGTTAGGTTAGGTTTGATATATTCTTTATTTATAAAAAGTACATAAAGTTTAGAAACATGACTCTACATCAATTTATAAAATCTAAAATAGATTTTGCAAAATTATAAGTTTCTTAWGCTTTAATTGAAWATAATTTCAAAAAAAGTTTATATTTATTAAAAATACTGTTTGCTGTTCAAAATGGYGAGTGTCCGTTTTAGTTATATGACATCAGACATATTATACTATAACATTTTTGAAATTTATCAAATGATTTTTTTTTTGCCTTCTTAGATGACAGCTTTTTGTTGAGATTTCTTAGAGCCAAGAAATTTAGCTTACCGTTAGCTCAAGAAGCTTTAGAACGATATTTATTATTACGACAAACGTTTGGGCATAAACACTTTAATAAACTTGACATCACGTGTCCACGACTTGAAAAACTTCTGGAACTTGGGTAATTGAAGAATAATTGTATTAATTGCTGAAATCACACTATACAGGAAATTAATTTTTCAATAATGTACCTATACAATATACGTTGTGTTACAGTTACATATTCGTAGTTCCCAAGCGTGACAAAAATGGACGCAGAATTATTATAACGAGACCAGGTAACATAATGTATTACATATATTATCATTAGAAATAAAATATAAATAATTAATATTATTAGAAAATAATAGGTCTAGTCCGATTTTTTAAATTAAGTCTGTATTGCCATAATCAATTCAGTTTTCTTTAATTATAAATACAATTTATAATTTTTTATTTCTTAAACTTGATACTTATTATTAGACATTGGATAATTTAATAATCAGTTATATAATAGTTTGTCCTTACATTTTGTACCTACTAAATTTTTTATTTGGTATTAATTTTTCAGTTGAGCTATATTACCAATAAATATTGATGTTAAGTGTTCAATATATGTATATTATATGTCAATATAATTTTTAGGCCATACGGCATATTATGGTGTCTCGGGGGTTGTTGTTGAAGAAAGTTTGAAAGAAGTAAAGTGTGGCCAAAGCTGAGACTTAAAAACAATATTATGATTTTCGTGGAGAGATTGAGATTGTGAAACCAGGACAATGGTAAGATTTTTGAGAAAATATTTTTGTACCAAATTGAAAAATGAGGAGGGAATGACTTCCTATATTTCAGCCATAGGTTAAAAGTGCAAATCCTAAGGTTGGTAATGAAGTTGGATCATAGAATTTTTAAGCTTGGAGGACATCTGAGATACTGAGGATTTAACTAATTTATTGGCAAATTAACAGTCTATAAAATATTTTATAATATGAAAGTTGCCAGTTACAATTGTTAATTTAAATATTAAGTAGATGATATTTCTATTTTAAATACTTATTGACTTTATTGACATATAATTATATAAATGTTATTCTAGATGCTAATACTKTAGCCTGTAGGTACATAACACAAAGGCAACAGGCACACAGCTAGCTAGGAAAATAGCTATCAACCTATTATTTCACTTTTAAGAGTTGTTAATATTCTGCTGTGATTCATGGAACTATGGAAGTCTTAAAATTAGAAAACAATAAAGAATAACATAATACGTAGGCAGCATTGAAAATATATTATACCTGACAAAGTTATAGGACTCGGTTGTATTTTTAGTAACTAACAGATAATACATTTAATGTAAGACACTCATTATTTATAAATAATATTTATTTTACATACCTAATTTTAAGTAGGTAATTAAAAAACAAAATTTTTCTAAAAAAATATGCATTCTTTTGCAATGCAGAATATTTTTTAGTGTACAAAGATATAAATAAATAAAAAATTAAGTTATCTGTTTATGAKTTATAAATATATGTAGTAGGTAATGTTGAGTGGAGCATAACTGGAGCTAGTAATTTGTAGCTTGAAAACTTAATCAGAATACAAATTTGCATATTGATCAACAAAATATATTCAGAATACAGTTTTAAATATTTAAAAACTAAAAAAATATCCAAATGCTTTGAAACTATTTAGTTACCAATAACTAAAATATTTTTAAGGAGTTTTTGACCCGTCAATATGGACTAATGCAGAAATGTGTAGAATGCACGGTGTTACATATGAAACACTGATGGAAGACCAGGAAAACCAAATTCGTGGGTTTGTACACTATACTGATGCAGCTGGTATGTGCTTACAACAACTAACATTATTTACACCAAGAGAAGCTGTCAGAATTGTTAAAAATGGAGAGGTACTTAAGTTTTGTTTAAAAAAACACAATATTTTAAAATTAAAATTATATAATTTATTAATATATTTAAATTATATATTATAATAATTAATAACAAATACACTTTTAAATTGACGACGTCATATTTTTGGCTAGTTTCCAATACTGATGTAAGATATAATGTAATTTTTGTTAAACTTTCAGTCTTAACTCTCTATCTTCTCCTTATTGGTTTAATCTTCTTGTAAATACTATATATATATATTTTTAAACTATAATATTCTTAAATAAAAGCTACACCTAAAATAATAATAATACAAATTATTATTTTATAAAAATAAATATTTTTTTTTTATTAATATTTTCTAGCGAACACTTCCAATGCGACATAAAGAAATATATGGAGTAAATGTACCATTAAGTTTAAAATTTGCGTTGGATTTTGGAATGACCTTGATATCTGAAAAAATTAGAAGTCGTGTAAAAGTAACAAACCTATTTGTATAATATCAAAGAATAATTACTATTCATAACTCTTGCAAATCATTTTCCAGATATTTAGTTCAATAGAAGAGAGCCACTCATATGTTGATAAGTCATTATTGCCTAAAGAATATGGTGGAGAAATGGAAATGTCGAAAATGATAGGCAAGTTTATTTTTTAAACACATAATTTTGTAATCAACATTTTATTTATTTAAACAACAATGATAGGTTTATGGAAACAAGAATTGTTAGAAAAACGAGAACAAATACTTAAAAATGAAAAAATGTTGGTAAGAGAGGATATGTTTACTGAGGATGCAAGACAAGGGCGAGTATCAGCGTTGACAAATCACAGTAACCATTACATGGTTGGCAGTTTTCGTCAACTAACTGTAGATTAGTTTTCATTATTTTGAACATCATTATATAATTTGAACATTAATTTAATGTAAAATTTTAACATTAAAATGTTACATCTTAATGTAAAATCTCTGAAAACAAAAAATGTTCATGGATTATTCAATGTAATAAAAAATACATTAAATGTGATATCTACGGATATAAAAGAAAAATTTGTAATTATTTAATTAATTTTATATATAACTTAAGGAATTCAATTCAATTGTATGTTCAATATTGTAATATTCAATAAAATAAATAATAATAAATACCAAATTTAACAATTATTAAGAAAACTAAAAAAAATCAAAACAAATACAATAAAAATATATTTCTTAAGAAAAATATTTTTTTTTCGGTAATTTTTAAATTTTTCTCTTAAAATAAAATAACAAACATTTTACGATACAAACATACCAGTCTTCTATTACATATGTATGTATAAAAACGTGTTTACCAATAATTATTGTAATTGGATATTTGAATATGTAGTACATACACATGTACAAATTAAAAATAATGTATTACATACCATATTTTTTGATATTGGACATTGACCTAAAAGTAAATCTACATAATTGTAGACAACTTATCTGAAACAAAATAATATATTTCATAGCCAAAAATGAGATTACAAACTTTAAAATTCAATAATAGCATGATAATTAACACAATCATAGAAATATATAATTTATAAATAATATATTATGTTAAAAATATAATTGTGTATCATAATTTCCTGAAATTGAGAATCAATATGACTATTATGAGATTTTATAGTAAGGTAAACAATTTGATGTATGATTACCTCAGAATGAAATATTTGAATAAATAAATAAATTAACTTTAAACTGTATTTTTAAATCAAAAATATTATAACAGAAAGTAAAAAATTTTTTATTTTCGATTATAATTTAAGAAACAATATTGATCTGATAATTCAAAATAATKTTAATAATTAAAAATGTGAAATGTTACATATTAAATTAAATATGTAATTATGTATAATTATTCTGCATTGTACTAATAGCATTAAAATAATGTTTTAATATTGATTTAAATAATATTTTGGAAATTAAAATAAAGCATAACAGTTAAACTATTAAACATACTGTCTATTAACTATTATGCTTAAAAAATAGCTTTTAAAAAATATCCAATTTAATCATAATTATTTCAATCAAACAAATTTAAGCAGTTTGAATAATATAATGAAATATATAAATATATAATATTAAAAGTTTCTAGTCTTTGAAAAGAAATATGGTAAAAATATCAACACTACTCTATAGTCAATCAACTATTTATTGAGTGATATTATGGTGAATAACATAGAGCTACCATAGTTACCAACTTAATAAGAAAAAGTAAAGATGAATATTATGTACTTATATACATTTAAAATACTTACTGTTTTTTTAAAGGTATATAAGATGGTAAATCCAATAAAGGTGCACGGCGTTTGGGTACAATATGAATGGATTCGTTTTCATTTGATTCATCATTATTGGGTATTGTTATTTCAAAATATCTGGGTTCATTGATTTCAACTACAACAGTACTTTTATCCTCAAATTGAACATGTGGGTATAGACATTTTTGACCATGTGGACATTCATTCTTTGTTTCAAAAATTGGACATAAATCTATGTGTTTTTTAGGACACTTGAATTATGGTGAAAAAAAAAATAACTATGAATATTTCCGCCAAAACAAATATTTTAAAATAAAAATATAACTTAAATATTTAATAAAATACAATTTAAAGTTCACTCACTTTTTTCCCCCAATTACAGGAACCATGGAGAAAATTTTTACAAATAGGAGTGTTTTTACTTCTATATTCGTGTAAGAATGGACAATTTAATTGAACACAAACACTATTTAAATAATGCTTACAGAATGGAATTTTTTCTTCAATGACATTATGTGATAATGAACAGTTTTCCTTAAAACATTCTCCCTTTAAAAACCTAAAAAAAAATGTTAAAGCAAAAATTTAATTTAGTAATACATTAGAAAAAAAATTAGCCAACTTTGTGCACAGTGTGATGTATTTTTTGTAATGACATTTATCACATTCTCCTTGATCCAATTTTGAACAATTGCCAAAGCGATTAAATACAAGACAAAGCTGTTTGGTGAGTGTTTTTTTACTTCTGGAAAATACATTTTTGTTGTAAGAATATTTTAGTATATTAATTTTAATATAATTTAATGAACCTGAGTCGTTGGAGGGTTTTATTGTTTGTTAAACTTATATTTTGAATTTTGTTTTTATTATTGTTTATAATTTTCAAATTTTGTTGAGGTTTCTTATCAGAAATATTTATTAAAYGTGGTATTTTATTATCCAAGGATCCAGTTTTATCCAACTTATTAATATTTGTCTTAGATCTAAAAAATAAATGATTAGTCATCATCAAAATATATTGATTTGTTTAAAAATACTGTTTACTTCAATATTGGATTAACATATGAATACACTGAATATGATCTCTTGCCACTTTTTTTATTTTCAACTGGCTTAATTACTGTATTTTTAGCTTGTTCACTGCTTGTAACAGTTTTTATTTTAGCAACAATATTTTTTTGCTGTAATTTCCTCATTAAAGCAAATCTATGCGATAGATGTTTAAGCATATAAGATTTTGTTTTTGACTGAATTGGATTTATTAATGATTGTCTAATTATTTTATTCTTGCCAAATAAAATTAATTTATCAGCTTTTTGTATGGAAGAATGAGTATTATTGTTCACATTATTTACCAATAATATACTGGGTCTTGTCCATTTTAACTTATTAGTATTACTAGGGTTGGATAATTTTGATTGAAGTACAGATGTTGTATTAGTAACATTATTCCATTCTGTATTTTTGTAAGACGGTATTAATGTATTTGATACTGGGCATTGTAAAGTTGAGAGGGGTTTACGTTCAATTTTATTATTTTCAATACCATTCAGTTTATAGTTGATCTTCCATTTATTTCTAAATAATGATTGACGTATTAATTTTGTGTGACCTATCTTTACAAGATTAGGTGATTCTATCATTTTTCCAGACAATTTCTTCATTATTTTTTTCTTATTTATAMTTGCTGATTTATTAATTGGTGATAAAGAATTTGACACATTTTTTAAGTTTGAATTTAACATACTAGAAGAAATTAATTGGTTTTGAAATTTTCTATTGACATGTACATTTTTTGATTGATTAGTTTTTTTAGTTGATGAAGAGTTTGTTTCTTTATCAATAACATATTTTGATGCGGTTAAATAATCTTGAACATTAATCATATATTTATCAACATTACGCAATGTTTGTGAAATATCGGAAGTTTCATAACAACTCTCATTTAATGGTAGCTTACAATTATTAACAAAGCTGTTTTTCACAATTTCATTAATTTGTGAATCAAATTCTATGATTTTATGACTGTTATTTAATATTTCATGATTTTGTTTCTTAATAACAGTTTTGACAGGACTTGAATGTAACRCATTTTGTTTGGTATACACCTTAGAAGATGAATTATTAGTCTTAACAAATGAACTATTTTGTTTAATTTTACTTTGATGATTGGTAAAATTACGATTATCTATTTTGGTAGAAAGGAATTTATTAGCTGTATGATTATCTTTACAATACTTAAATTTGGATGATGATTTAACATTTTTATTAGTAATAATATTTTCTTTGATATTATTCGGAGTCTGTTGTAATTTTGGTTTATCGTCATTTTCATCATCATCTAGTTGCTCTAAATAAACAAAAACATAATATTACAATTTAAAAAAAGCGGCCAAGWATATGTCAACAGATGATCTTTAAATGCTTATAAAAAAAAATCATACCAATGTATTTTTAATTTTTTTTTAAATATTGAAGTTTTGAAGTATTAAAACAATTAGAGTATAACATTTTTCAAGCTTTTTGACCCAATGAATACAAATTTATTGATATTAATGAAAACAAATTTCAAGTTTAAGTAAATAGCTTAAAACAAAGTTAGGTTAAGAAATTATAAAATGAGTAAATTTCAAGTATCTATTTATTTATAAATAGGTATCAAGAAAATAAGAAAATTGTTCCATGAGAAATCRAGTAAATATTGAGGTAAATATTTAATGTCATAAAAATTTAAACTTCAAACACTCATAAGAATTTAATTTGACTTTTCTGTAGACACATTTATGGAAAATCTTGTATTATTTTTTATATCTTAGATGGGAAAAGAAAAATTTTATGATTTTTAAATTATAATAATTTACAAATTTTCGTGATTTTGCCAAAACATTGTGGATTTACACTCAACTTTTTTTTTTAATTTTCACTCATTACAACTTATGAGGAAACTTATAATACATTTAAAATGTTTTTATTGCAGGAAAAACATTTTATAGACAATTATAATAAAAAAAACTAATAAAAGTCCATATTTTCTTATGCTTCTAAATAGCTCAAAAAGAATCRAAATATTTTGATTTAAATTTTATTGTCTAAAAAATTATAAAACGGTAAAATTTCCATACAACAAAGTCAAACAAAAAGAAAATTTATTAAATAACATTTCTGCATGAATCACAATGAAGGTCATGGTAATTAAAACTAATAAGTTAAATGGAAATTCACTGTATGGAAGTTTCACTATATAAACATCCAAATGTGAATTTTATGCATCAATGATCAATATTTTTCATTACCGACAGAAACGAAAACTTTATTGTTAAAAACTGATTTTGCATAAAAATTCTATTTTTTCTTWAATGTTTTTTTTGTGTGTTTCTTGATGTTTCTGAAAACAACTAGGTAGGAATTTTTAATTTTAAACTTGTATGCGCCAAACTAGATTAACTTTTTAACCAGAAAACATAGGTATGCTTGAAAAAAATCAAAGCATTTTAACTGTTCTAAAAGATGACAGACAAGTAAAAAAAAATTGAAAATCGTGAGGGGGTTGATAAAGTGCATTTATGCTATCACTATTTGAAAATTGGCTATTGTTCTTGACTAATTCTATAATTTTACCAGCTTATTTCACAATAACATTTTAAAGTAAATGGTCGAAATTTCATTACATATATATAACGGCAGTTTAACATATAAAAGCTATAAAAGTGCAATATCTTCATTATTTAATGTCTACCTATCATAATTATTAATAATGATTGATGTATTGCATTTTACAGTACACACATTGTTATGTACTTAATAAGTATTAGATGTACCTAGGTAAAACAAAAGAATCACAATCAATAAGTTTTAAATAAATACAAAACTACTATAAGAATAATTCATTTTTAATACATACTTTTGAGGGCAATTAAACGTTTTAGTAATAATTCTTCTTCATCCGTGCTACTCTTATTGGTACTATAGTAATCGTTCACCTCCATCAGTCATAAATTCAATCAATCATAAATATAATGAACATGGACCAATATCARATTATAACACTATTATAAACTTAGAGAAATATTAATGATCAACGAAATTGATTTGTAATAATAAACTTTGATTATTTACATTCAGTGAAATTTTTAAACTAACAMAGTAACACTACAAGGTTTTACGTATGCTCTCTAGGCTACAAGTCATGGACCGTGCCATAAAAATTGAAAATGAAATATGAATCTGAATCATRAAACGAAATCTACAATCACAGAACATCTCTAAGACTAACTAAATTCAATCAACGTTTATCTGTATGTTATCATATATTGAGTCTTGTCATTGTTGTTAGCAGTTTATCATTTAATAAGAAGATAAGATGTATTGTTACCAATATACGGACTTACGGGACTAAATTATTGTACTTTTTCTTTTTTTAATAACAATAATTATAATTTATAAGTATTTTAATTTTTAATACGACAATAATACAATATAGAATATAGATACAATCATTCAAATATATATTTTAGAATGTATCAAATTCTTTTAAGATTAAATGCTTAAACTTTTGCGCAATAATGTTTATTATCATATTTATTATTTTCAAGGAAGAAATCGGAGTGTATCAAGTATCGTATATCGATTTAATTTTGAATGTTCAAGAAGTTACACGTTCAATATACATTATACAAGCGATATATTATATACCTACCTACCGACCCAYATTGGGTTTAGACTTCGATACTACTCCGTCTCCGTACTTAACCATTCTCAGTCGATACGTATCGAATTCTTCTTCTTGAAAATCTTGAATATTTTTACATAATTGTCAATAATTTCCCTATACAAAACCACTTCAAGTTAGCCTTTTGGGTATTTTTTGAAAAATATTACTACTGACTTAAGCTGTAAATTGGTTTGGTTGGGTTAGGTGGTCGATTTATAGGGTCATACATAGGCATATAGCTGATATATATTATAAGGTCATATTCTACTAGCGGTCTCAAATAAAAATGTAATGCTCATCAAGGGAATTAAATTAATCTAAAATCTTTAATAATATTGTTATAGACTTATAGTATACACATTATACGTTATATAAATATATAATAATTTTTATTAAATATACTCGAGGTGACATTAGCCACTGAGACACCATGTTATTTTAAGTGGGTCCAAAAAAAATTTTATGCCTGCTTTTTGGTCACAGATTATATTATGAAAAYATTAAATAAAATCTAAAATTTAAAATGGTAAAATAATTGTTATATACATAGGCGTAACTAGACCTTAAAGTTAGAGGGGTTTCAGCCCCAGAATTTTGATAATAGGTAAATTAATTGGGGGAGGGGGGAGCACTGCCTCCCACACTCACAAACACATTTCATTAATTGATTATGATTGTAATATAAAACAAATAATAAACATTAAAATATGAACATATTATTAAGTATTATTTTAAGTTAAATTTTCTTAAGATATATATTATGAMACTATGATAGTTTAAGGATTTTTATACATAACTCCCAAATCTGGGAGCCCATCAGATCATGGCTTAGTTCATGTTTCAACTACCAGTGATTAAGTAACTGGGTTAAATATTCTACTAAAAAAGCATAAAAAATCCAATAAAAATATAGAAATATGCATAAAAAGCATATGAAAATTGAAAATAATATGCACTTTTTTCTAAAATTGACAAAATATCTAGCTTGGATTTCTAGCTTGGTATACTATACGTTGAGAGCATACAGAAAATTATGCAACTCCTACAACTTCAGAGCTCTAGTCATTAGTAATTACATACAATAAAATATTTTTCCAAGATATAAATAAAAAAATATAAAACGACATTTAGTTTAAAAAATTTACTACTGCTGGGAAGTGCGGGACTAAGAATTATGATAGGGGGACTAAAATTCATGTTGGGGAGGGGGGCTTAGCCCCCCCCCTTGTTACGCCTATGGTTATATATTTTTTGACTGCTAACAAACTGGCTTGGACGCTAGTCGCTACTCGCTAGCCGGCAGCCGCTAGGTCTGTCTTTAACTAGTCTCCATATGGTGTCCCGATGTGCAACCTACTCTTTTATTTATTTAGTCGTGGTTAACTGGTTAGTGAACAGTGGTCTTTTTGACCTTATTACCAGCTTAGTACTTAGTACTGTAATACTGTTGTCTGTTACTCTGTTAGTAGTTATTCCTTGATCCTCATTTATGCGTATCATGGCGTTCTCGTTGTGAATATTATTTTAAATTTTAATTGACAAAACTATTTAACCAAAGGTACTGTAAAAATATTATTTCTAAATGGCTTAGTGTTATTCAAATCCATCGGGTCAGTTGGAAGAGAATTCGTAAGTAATAATCGAAATATATAATAATACAATATAAAATATGTTATATTTACCAACCATTTAGTCTAATCATTAATACTCAATATTGATATTATTTATAGGTTATCTTGGATATTAAACGTATGGTTATAATTTTATAACTTTCCTACCTTCACAAGTTCTCCACACTTTTAGACCAACATAACTGATAGAAAAACGAAGGACCTCACTCATATAAAAGAAATAGACCAGTATATTACGTGACAGAAGCTTCTAAGCATTGGTTGACTTGGAAATAAAGTAGTAGAGGTACTCTAGCTACTTTTAAAATGTAGCGTCCCTAGAATTTTAATAAAACTTACATAATCATGGCGGTGGGGGGCTAAAAGTTTACATAACAATCCGTCCCATGCGTTCCCCTTTAAAAAAGAAGTAGGGGTACGCTAGCGTATCCAAAAAATTAATTGAGGTACTCAGTTACCCCCACGTCCCCCCAATTCAACCACTGCTTCTAAGCAATGAAAACTAAAATTTTAACGAGTTTTTATGATGTCGACTGTTGAGTACTTAATATTTTTATCAGCTTTGTAGTTGATGTAATGAATAATTATGTCTGATGTTGTTATCACAAGGTTTACACTGTTTACAGATGTTTATACAACATGTAGCGATGTAGCATGACGTAAACGTTTAATATCAATTATGATTGATGAATACAAACATTTACAGTTCATAACACCATTGATTTTAGAATATATTCTAAAATCAATGATAACACGAATAAAGACTAATTATAGTCCGGGTTCATACTATAAACAGTAATATACTTATATTAATAAGTTTCACTAAATCCAAGGCGGATCGATCCACATTCCACCTTCACAGTTCACTTAATCTGTATTCTACTATAATTCTATGCTGTAAATGGTAAATAATATTATATTGATAGTGAGTGGTTTATTTAGGGTTATTGGTCTCACGTAATACACTGACACAATGACATACTGTATGTCTGTATAGTAATAGTAAACAGTAAACTATTATAAATTCTACTTAAAGCTTAAAGCCGCGTTTACACGGTGACGGTGACAGTTGATGTTACAATGTTATAGAACTGTCATGGCAGTAGTTGTACCACCAACTATAGTCTATATAGTACTGTCATATTATCTAACGCGGCTAGATAGTTGACAGTACTGTCACCGTGTAAACCCCCTTTAATATTGTAGTATTGTACAAAACTATAAATATAAAAATATATTGCCATATTGTCTTCTAGCAAAGAAAACTGGTAGAATCGTCAATCACATAGAGAATTGGAGTGATGAACTGATGAGTGAATGACTGAATGAGTGATCACTGATCACTGTCCACTGATCAGCTCATAGGGTAATATTACTCTATGGATCAGCTGCTGCAGTCATCGATATAGTTTATTCTACTCAATTTATTTCCTACCATAAATTATCATAATAATAATATTAATATATTATTATACTGTGATAATGTGTACCAATGGCACGGCGTCACATTCCGCTAAAGTGTATTTCCTCGATCGTTGGCAACAGTGTTTCTCTCCGATATTCGTTATTACTCCATGGTTTATCACGGATATTTGGTCATTTTGTATTTTATTTTTTATTTTGCCCCCACTTACCACATTCACCACAGTGCCACACAGCCCGCAGTCCCGCACTGGCCGCACTCTCACTCCGACTCTACCACTGGTTCTTCCGTTTCGCCTTTTTTCGATGCGTTTTCGCTGAGCCGTATGAATTCGTTTCTCGAATGTTCGGCATCTTTAAATCGCAAGTGTCGCTAAACATCCGCTGAATGATGATCAAACATCGATATTAACGCAGAACCATTGTCCGCCGTACAGCCGATACAAAATAATCGCGAGCACTGTGCGCTAGCATATTATTTCATTGTGTAGGCGCACTATCATCGTATTGATTAAACACCGTTGAAGCATATTATTACTATCTAGGTGATTAGCCAGTGCTCCTTACAATAAATTACTGACTGCTGTCCGTGGTATAAGAGTTTATTTCGTTTAATTGTGATATCGTCAATTCATCTACGTTTTTGTCACGATTTGTGATTTCTAAAAACCTTATTGCGAATTTTAGGACCACCGAGAACAGTGCGACCTCAAACGCCAAAATGATTGATCTGACCATAAAGACATTGGATTCACAGAATCACAAATTTCGTGTTCCAGACACTGTAAGTTTCATTATGTTGTTCCCCCATAAATTGTTGTTTTTGTTATTAGATATTCAATTGTACCTATTAATGATTATTATTACTAGTTTACCATACTGGAACTCAAAGAGCATATTGCAGCACAAGTGAATGTCGCAGTTGTCCAACAAAGATTGATATTTTGTGGTCGTGTCTTGAGCAATGAAACCAAACTTGCTGATATTGGTAAGATATTCATTTGTTTTTGACCATAGATTTTGTTATCCATTAGTGTTGTTGAGTTATGATTGCTAAATATTTAGCTTATGACAAAATATATATTTAATCAACCCCCCCCCATGATTTTAATTTTTAAAAAACTGGTTTTTTTACGCTTGAAATTATGGTGTACCTACAAATCATTTACTTTAAATTATTATTTTACTAATTTTAGTTATTTCAAGTTCTCTGTTATATGGTAAATACTAAAATAGTATACATATTGCGTGAATGCCATTATTCACTTAACACTCCAGCGCACATAATATTAATATTTTGAGTTACATCATAAAAAATTAAAATGTAAGCCCTATTATTATATATATATATATATATGTTTCATAAATAAATAGTTTCTGTATAATATATTCAGTATTACTATGGGTATTAGAATATTTATAAATAAATACAAATTTATACCTCATAATCATCATGTCCTCTGATCGACTCAACTATAATTTTCAGTCTTGATTTCCTCTATCTTAATATGATAAACTTTCATTACATTAAAGATAGATTCATCCGTTTAGAAAAACTCGAGCAGGAGATTCAATTTTTGTGCTTTACACATTTCATTGAGTTGCTAAATAACTAGAAATTATTTTTTCTTTTTTATGGAATTGAGGCGAATTAACTGAAAATTTAGAGTGCTGCTAAAAGCTTTCAACGATGTTGGTATGTTGACCATTTTCGAAATCCTTATAAATTACGGAATGGTTGACCATCAACTATATATACAGTAGAATCTACTTAATTGGGACATGTTGGGCGGTGACTTATTTCTCCCTATTATCCAATTGTTCTGATTAACTGAACAATTTTTTCCACAGTTTTACTATGCATATGGAAATTAAGAAATAATATTATCCTATTTACATAATAATTATAATTATAATAATATAGGTATAATCATAACTACATTTATAATTTATAAACTTATAAAAAATATTATTTCAAAAACAACTCATCTTCATGGAATATGTATGTAGTAGTAGGATAAAAATGATTGACAAATTAAAATACATACCTATATACGTATGATATTATAACATATTTTATGACATAAAATTATTATATAAAATATAATAGCGATGTTGTGAATTGTGATTAAATCATTATTTTATTTTCGATAAGTAAACAGGTTTGAAGAGATTGAACAGTATCTCTTATAATCAATGGTTTGTTCTCAATAAAAGAGGTTAAACTGCCTAAAATAAATACATTCGTTTGGAACTCTGTCGTTTTGTCCCTATAAAACGGTGATTCTTTTGATATGATGTCCCCATTAAGARGACGCCACACCCGCATGTGTTGTCTCCGTCGTACAAGTGCGTAGCGTAGCAAATTTTACACTCAGCAGATCACGTTTATCTGCGTTAATTTATAATTTAAGTGAATTGACCTATTATAAAAATTAAAGGCAAGGTTATTACCGAGGGCATCTCATGGGCTTTTTATTATATTTTAATCTTAAAGCGAGTTATGAGTATTTTAAAATTGTAAATTATTTTTATATCTAAAAATACTCATAACTCGGTTTGTTGCCCTCAGTAATAATCTTGCCTTTAATTTTTATGATAGGTCAATTCACTCTAAATTTTAAATTGAAGGAGATAAATAAGATTTGCTGAGCGTAAAATTTGCTATGCTACGCACTTGTACGACGAAGACAACACATACGGGTAGGGCGTCCTCTTAAGTGGATTCCACTGTATTCTTCACCTTCGATGCAGTCATATCATAAGCCCAAATGTCTAAATAATAATTTATTATTAATTGACTGTTAAATGTGAATAAATTACAAATAAATTAAAATCTGGCTAGGAAAAGCATTACTTTGTTGTTCAAGTTAAGCCTACTGGCTGTCACTTGTTATTCTTATATTTCAAATGTACAAGGTAGATATAAAATAAACTGCAAAATAATAATATATAAAATGTGACAAGTAATACATATTTTTAAATTGAAGTATCTAATTCTGATAAAATCAAGCTTATTTTATATTTTACATCTCACAATATTCTACATTTTTACGTATTTCTCTAGAAAATTCAGTGAATTAATTTTTTTTGCTACATTTATCTACAAATTAAAAATCTATTACAATAATATTCAATAGATTGTAATATTTCTATCAGACACTACAAATATTGGAAACTAAATATGCCATTTGTGTACATATTATTGAATATTGTAGAGGAAGCTGTGAAAAGTATAAAACATTTCAATGAAAAATAAGATTGTTGATAGTTAAGTAATAATTTGCAATAGTGTTTCTGTTTAAATTAGTTTTTTCTCATGTGAATTAACAAAACCATTTTAAGTAAGCTAAATTAACATGTATTTAACATCGAAAGTACCTAAACTAATTTATTTTGTTTGAATATAATTTGTAAATAATTGTAATATAATTAATTGTTTTGGTTGAAAAACGGCTGTTATTTTGCTGATTTCCTCTTAATATAACTAATCTAATTTAAATTAATATTTTTTACACAGAGTTACTCATTCTCTCCCATTACAAATATTAACTAATATTTATATAACATTTTAGAGTATGTTTCTATTTCCTGTTTTGTCATTTAATTGATATTGAATGGTGGATGTAATTTAAGATGATTTAAAAACTATTTTAGTGCTTCAGAATTAAGTCATTTGATAAAGTTGTATCATGATTAGGGGCCGGAATTATATTCTTTTGCATATTTTGTTTTTGAGGCTATGCAGTCAGACAGGGGTTTGAAATTTTTACAAATCATGAAACCGGTTAATTAATGGCAAAAGTTTTTTTAGCATATTTGAGAATATTTCGTACAGTAAAGAATATTTGAGAATATATCGATTAATTTTTATGGACATTCAATATTTTTTGTTGCAGTGGCGTAAATGTAACTAGCTGAAYCTGTGCACTTCGTAGCCCGTTAAAAATCCTATCTCTTTTATGGTTCATAGTTCATATTGTGTGTTAAAATCATTTCATGTGATGATGCTAGCAGTATATTTTTATACATAATGATAGTGGTTAAAATATATTATAATCTTACAACGATATTCAATTTCGTATATCATTATGTAATATTAATATTATTTATTTTATTTTTAATACTGGGCAGATGGCACCACTTTAATTTCATCACACCCTCATCATATTTCTCTAACCCGATAACTTTCTCAATATTTTCATACGTAAGAACCTTCTGGCAATTATGACCCAAACAAAAAAAGAATAAGCKAMATCGGTTCAGCAGCTCAATTGATGAATTGTTATACATTTTTGTCTCCATTTTTATATATATATAGATTAAGTGTCCAATAATAGTGATATGATATTGATATATTATATTCGTATTATAACCAACGTATATACAATCATAATGCCCTAATTAGGAATATACTATAGTAGTCTGTAGTAGATAAGTGACTTATCTAAGATGACTATGCCTTGCAAGAAATAGAATTATTACTACACTTCTAAAATAGCTAGCTCCAGGCGTTCAATTATTACTACATGTATGGTACAACACAGCAGTGTCGCGTGTTGTGTAGTATTGACATAGATATACATTATAGTTTCATTATATTTCATTAGTTACTTGTTTTTACTTGTTCATAATGCCAAAAACACCATCAACTAAATTAAAAGATTTAATTTCACAGTGGATTCAACCATTAAATAAAAACAATATAAATTTTACAACTGAAGGCACTACTCTCTTTTGTCAAAAGTGTAATAAAATTGTACCGTGCATTAAAAAGTCTCAGTTATCACAACACGTCGATACATTTTCACACCAAGAAGCTCAAAAGCGTAAGTTAAACACTTAAAAACAATTGTTTTTATCAGAATCGACTTCTTAAAAAAATGTAAATGAATTTTATGAAGATTTATGTTTGAGTCTTGTTGCCACAAATATTATTCCGTGGTATTAATTGCAAAATCCACAATTTCGTGAATTTTTAGAAAAATGTACTGGTAAAAATATATCTGATGAAAGTCTGTTAAGAAAAAATTATCTATCACATTGTTATAATAAGACTATCCAATAAAAAAAAATGAAATAAGCTATTTTAAATATTTGATTTGCTGTTGATGAGACAATAGATATAAATGTCCGTTTTGTGGCAAATTTATTGGTTGGTATATAAAAGTCAAATCATCTGACTCGTTCTTTTCTCTTAACATGTAAAGTTTAGAAAAGTTTAACTGGCTCGTTTTGAGAATGATGAGTTAAAATATAACTGTGGACATGGGGCGGAAATGATGAAAAAGTATTGTTGATGCTCTCAGATGCTGCACCGTACATGGTGAAAACGGGACAGTCACTAGCAGTTTTCTATCCCAACTTAATYCATGTTACATGTGTAGCTCACATGTTTAATAGGGTTGCAGAAAGGGTTAGAGAAATGTACCCAGACATAAATTAATTAATTAATAACATAAAAAAAGTATTTCTAAAATCTCCATACTATGACTATGTACAAGTGTATAAAGAAATATTACCAGATATTCCGTTACCCCCAGAACCGGTACTAACCAGATGGGAAACGTGGTTGGAAGCTGCTATTTTTAACTGTAATAATTTCTACGTTTAAAAAAAGTTATTGAAGAATTAAGTAGTCGAAAATCTCCCAGTCAATCAGTACTTAAATGTAAAACAGTTTTTGACATAATAATCATAGAAAATCATCTAATGTTTATTAAGGCCCATTTTCTTGGTCTCGTTACATTCATCAAAAGTTTGGAAAAGTCTAATGTGTCTCTTGTTGATTCAATAAATCTAATTGAAAATACAATTGGTCAACTTCAAAAAATACCCGGAGAAWATGGAAATAAAATAAAAATAAAAATTGATCAACTTCAACAAAAAAATCAAGGGCTCATCATTTTRAAAAACGTAGCTAAAGTTTTGAATGGAAATAATGAAGTTCAACTTATAGACAATTGTTCACCGGCTATGATTACTGATTTRCAAAATGCTCCCGTGACTTCAGTTGATGTCGAACGTTCATTTGGCACTTATAAAAACATTTAATAAAAATGTTCGTAAATAAAAATACCTTATTATCATTGATATAATTTAATCAATTTTTTTGTATTATTTTTCGTATAAATGGATATTTTTATTTCAAGAGAATATATTAATAAAAAATCATATTTTTCGCATATTTCATTATGATTTTTAAAGAATATTTTCAACTTTTTTTAGAGAATATTAGCATCTTATTTTGACTATTTTAAAAGAATATAATTCCGGCCCCTAATCATGATATTTGTACAGATGTGATTATGTATTCATTTTAATGTTAATTTGAATTTAACAAAACCGTTTTTCCCATAGGTATTRATGGAAAAGTTATGCATCTTGTGCAGAAAGTTCCGCGTATGTCAACAACTACTTCTGGATCATCATCATCTACAACAACCAATACTACTAGTCGTTCAGGACAAAATGCAGGACCTGGATTTAGAGGATGGCATACACACGATCCTACTGTTTTATTTGGTGCCATTGGTATTCCTTCCGAGTTGATGCATGCTGGAGGTAATGTGTTAATATATATTTATATGCTAATTGCAGAAATACTTGTTTCAATATAAATTTTTTCTTAAATTCATCATTTATGAACTAACGTTATTTTGAATACTGATTGATAAATAAAAATTATTTTGCTTCCAAGCATCTATTTCATTATAAATACATGTTAGAAAATGTTTACTTGCATACAGTTGTTCTGCTGATCTAATTTTCTATTGTTAGTTTTTMTATTAGAGTGAATAAGCCTTACATTAAACTTAAAAGTAAAAACATTTATCTCTAAGATTTAGCTAATCAACTTAAACTGTATATGTACATAGGATAATGGGATGATGTGTATCTATAGGTATCTGATGGTAGGTTAATAGAATCCAATTTGCACTACATGTAGAGCCCTACATCGCCCAGCAAACTTTACTCTATTTCAACTAAATAAGTTTGAACAAAATATTGATAGAAACGTGTGCAGTTTGTGCATGTGCAGTCTGATTAGCTGCATTGGTGCGTTGCTGTCTTCTGTAGCTAATCACAGCAGCCGTACCATTCCAAAGCTACACAGTTTTTTTAAACTTATTTGGATTTGAGTGCATTGTATGCTTTGTCTCATATATGGAAAAAGTGAATTTTCCAGTTTTACGTATACTTTTTGGCTTAATACAGCTCAAAAGGGATAAAAAAAATTGGACATCTTATTCAGTATAGAATTGGTAAAAAAAATGAGTTTTGCGTATTATAGCATATTTTAATGATAAAAGAATATTCAGCCTATATTTCATGTTTAAGAGGATGTCAGCACACCATTTGTTTTCTCTTTCTGGCCCACACTCAACATAGACAAAACACATTTATGTAAAATCATTTTTTCTGTGTTTTTAAGTAATCTTACAGTAAAATCACCCATTACAAAAAATATAGAGAATAATATTTTTGAGGGAATGACATATCAATTCGTTTAAATATTGTCTCAAAACAATTTAAACATAATTTCAATTTACAGCATTTTTTTTTTGTTTATTTTGAAAGTCGAATACAAAATCAAATAACATTAAGGTATGATATCGATKACATATTCCCTCTAAAATATTATTCTCTATATTTTTTGTAATAGAGGATTTTATATTAAGATAATTTAAAAACATAGAAGAAATGATTCTGCATAAATGCGTTTTGTTTATGTTGAGTGTGGGCCAGAGAGAGAAAAAAAAATAGTGTGCTGACATCCTCTTAAGAATATATTGTACTATTTGTTCATAAAAAAAGTCATATTAAGTAATTTCTCAAGTTGAAATATTTCTTCATGTGAAAAATATATATATWTTTTAATTTAAAAATGAATAATGATAGAAATTGCTAAATAATTTTTTTTAAATTTTTTTTAAGTGTGATTACATTTAAATAATTTACCAAAGAAAAAATATGAAATAATAATTATTTTAAAGTTAAAACAATCATATTATTACATGGTGTGAAGTTTTAATTAAACATATTTAAATATAACCTTATTATAACTTGATTGTGGTAACTAAGTAACTTGATAATTAAATTGTAGCAGTCGAGATAACACAGTTGTCCACCCAAGGTAATCGAGAAATAAAAGATTCAATTCGTATTATAGCGTGTAGGGTGTTCTAGAGTTTGTATAAAAACACCCATTATTAAGTTAGAGAGCCAAGAAATGTTATAGGTCTTCTTCTTCTTCCGTGACTTCGGCCTTCAAGATCCTGTCATCCAACAAATTTGTCACCATGTTTCCCTATTTAAAGCTAACTCCTTCCAATCCATTCCTGGTCTCACTTTCTCTATGTCTTCTTTGATCCTATCTTCCCAGCGTAATCTCGCCCTTCCAAGTGGTCGCTTTCCTTGTGATACGTTCTCTTGTACTATTTTTATCAATGACCCTGTTTTCTCCAAGAATGACCTKYCCACTTCAGTCTTCTTTTGGCRATATCTTCTTTGATGCTTGGTCTTTGGTACAAATCCTGAAGTTCCTTGTTTTTACATATACTCCATTCTCCTGTAGATTCGTCTATACATGGTCCATAAATTTTCCTCAGCATCTTTCTCTTTCAAACAGTAATAGTGCATTTTTGTCAATTTTCTTCATGGTCCAAGTTTCCGAGCCATATATCACTACTGGCTTAATAAGTGTCAAGTATATTTGGGACTTCAGATTTTTTGAGATTACTCTGGATCTTAATAACTGTCTGGCCAAAATCAAATTTATTGGCAGCTTGTGTTCTAGCTTTTATTTCTGTGCCTATTTTATTCTGTTGTGTAATTAGTATGCCAACGTATTTGAATAATAATTGCTGCACTCTTTTGAATTTTTAGTTTTCGACTTCCAGGACCTCGTTTCGACGGCCTATTTGCTCATGTCTTTGCACTTACATATACTCAGTTTTCTCTGAGTTAATCTCTAGACCTACCTGTTTAGCAGAATTTATAAGTTTTTTTGATTGTTCTTCTGCATACACTAATGTTCCAATGTTATTTTCTCCTAGTTTATCTAGAGCTGCTTCTCTAACTACTTATTCTAATACTATTTTGAATAAACCCTGTGATATGGCGTCACCCTGCCTTAGTCCAGTTGTCACTTGTACCATTTTTGGTAGAGAATGTCCTACATTTACCTAATTACCTTGATTTCAGTGTGACCAATACTGCACTCAACGAGGTTTATTAACTTACTTGGCATTCCAAACTCTTCTAAAGTCTTGATTAGGAAAACTCTATGTATTGAACCATACGATTTTTTGTAATCAATGAATACCATATGTACGCTTTTATCATACTCCCAGGTTTTTTTTTAACACCTGACGTATAATGAAGATTTGATCTATCGTGGAGCGATTTTACCTGAAACTGGACGATAGTCTCCTATAATCTCTTCTGACCAAGGTTTGATTCTGTCAAGTATACAATAAGATAAAATCTTATATGTTACATTAAGCAGGGCATAATTGTTGCATATTTATTTGTATCCTTTCTTGTGGATGGGATAGACTGCTGTTTTCCATTTCTTTGGTATCTCTTCTTTTTGCCAAATTAAACTTATTAAACGGTTTATATAACAAGATTATCTGCTCCTGTTTTAAGTAGCTCTCTGGGAATCCCATCTTCACCGGGTGACTTATGGCTTTTTAGGGTTTTTATTTGTTTCGCAATTTCCTCTACCTTAGATTCGGGATAATCTTTCCTATTCATTTCCTTATTCTCAAAGAGTAATGGATTAGTGGATTCTCTATAGTTCAGAAACTGGTCGAAGTATTGAACCCATTCCTCGACTATGTCATCTCTATTCGTTAACTAAGTATCATTTTCGTTTCTTAAAAACATATCTTTCGGTTTAAAATCCTTGCTTAAAGAGCTAATCTTTTTATATAGGTCTCTTGTCTTATGATTTTTATAACCTGATCCGCATTTCTCACTATGTCTTAAATACATTTTTGCTTCTCGGATCTTATAATTTTACTTACTTCTTTTAGTCTTGTTTTATATCTAGAGAATTTTTCTTCATTTTGGATATCCTTTAACCAAACCRTCCTCGTTTGCTTTGTGCATAGTAGGGCATTTTTGTGTATCTGGTTAAACCACGGTTTCCTCATAACTCGTCGTACTCCAACTGTTTTTTTGTTATTTTGCGGATCACCGAAATGGTATTGGTAGTAAATCAAAATTTATTTATATCCATTTAGGTATTATATATTATTATTATATTTTTTACAGTTTAATATTTTTTTTTTGGTATATTACATGTTTTATTGTATAAATTGGTGTAAGATTAAAAATGAATTCATGTACCTATGAGTACCTTATGAGTTATTTGTATAATTTATTTTAGAACTACCGCGCCTTATAAGTACTAGAAATCATGGAACTGGTAATAGAGTGACATTTGCTTTGGAGATGATACGCAGAGGCAATGCTATATTAAATAGACTAGAAAATTCAAGACCCTCTCAACAACAATCCTCTGCATCTAATACAGAACAGTCTCCAGAAGGCTCACAACAGGCAGAAGCTACATCTCCAAGTGTATCGCCAGAAGGAGTAGAASCACCGGAATCATCCCTGCCAGAATCATCTGTACCACAATCACAGACAGATCCAGATTCAGTAAATGTGTATGTTTAAAATTTATTAATTTTAAAATATCATTACATATCATTCTTATGTTTTCATTTTTTGACTTAAATGATTTATTTTTTTATCAGGAGCTATGAAGTGGACGAAACATTCCCAAATACTGTTGTTGTTACTATTGATGCTACACATCACATGAGAATGCCTCCAGGATTAATGCGCCAAGTTCATAATCACATGCAAGCAAACAATCTATTTCCAATTCATCAAAATGCTACTGAAGCATGTAAGTCCTTCAAGTATTTTTTATTTATTTTGGTTACAACTATTTGTTTTTTAAGCTTAAAATAAAATATATACAAAATACATATTTTATGTATTTTTTTCTCATTAAATAAGTTAATTCAATAGGTTTTTAGAATTATTCCATGATGTTTTTTTTTTTGCTGTTTTCTTCATTAAAAGCTTTATTTTAGTTATTTCGAGAGATTCTTTGTTCTAATAATAAGTTAACAGTGATTTAGAAAGTAATTATTTTGAGTAGTTTAATTTAAGTTTAAATTTGTGGTTATTTTTATTGATTGACAAATTTTCTCACTTAACATGTTTGTACAAAGTTAAATAGTTGCTTTATGTTTGTTATATGTTTTTTTTAGCTACTGAAAGTGAAGGTTTAAATGTTCCTGAAAATGCTCCAGTTAGAGGTTCAACTAACCAATCTTCAGCTGAACAGGGTACTGGAACACTACCATCTTCTGCATCATCTGAACAACATTTAAGGTTTGACAAATAAGAATGTGCTTTTTATTGTATATTTAAAGAAATTAATATTATATTTTAATTAAAAACAAGAAGGAATGATCGTCAAACTTCAGAAAATAGATCTACGGTTGCTGTAAATGACAGGCGACGTTTAAGAGAGCTGATTGAAGAATTGAATAAGTTAAATGAAAGACTTCGACCATATTATGCTATCTATTGTCAGTTTATTATTGATGATCCTCGATTTGATACCACAGAAGTATGATAATTAAAAAATTTGGAGTATTAGCCATTAAATATTTTAATATTTAAATTGAGAAAAAAATGTACTTCTTATTTTATTATACTTTTAATTAGTAATTGCATAACTTTTAGGGTGAACATGGATCACTTAGAGCGCAAACTGTTTTTAATGGCGTGTCTGAAGTGATGCATTTAATATCACATGTTTATCATGCAATTAGTGATATAAGAGTTGCATTTAACAGACCACCACCACGTTCTTTCCAATCTCGTCCTTGTTTACTACAAGGTACTATTTTACATGCTGCTCATTCAGTTACAACAACTACTACAGCAGCACCTCCATCTACTCAACAACCTACTTCTACACAAACAACCACCACAAGTCAATCTATACCAAGTGTACGAGCTTTTAGACTTGATTGTAAGTTATACTTAATTTGAATCTTTTTAGTTTTATGATTATAAACCATGTATTGTTATGAATTCAGATGGAGGAGGAAATGAAACTCCAAATGTGCCCACTTCAGCTACTGAAACAAATACAAACACAAACATACCAGTTGATCCAAACACTGAAAGTAATAATACGCCTTTAGAGTTCCCGCCTCCTCAGGGAGTAGAACTTTTGTTTGATCTAGCTCCAGGGTCCATTCGCATAGATTCTGTTGAAGCTGCATTTATTAACCCAACTGTCTCGGCAGCAACAGGGTTACCTACAGCTGTTTCTCGTTCGTATATATTATGATATTCAACATAATCAAAATAATAATTAAATTTTTTTTTTAGAACCACAACAATCATCAGCCACTACTGCTGATCCAGCAATGCCTATTGACTGGATGGATCAAATGATTGATGTAATTTCTAGTGGAGTGAGACGTCCTTTCATGTCTGAACAATCTTTTGATTGGAATAATAGTATACCTACTACTTCTACTCGAACTCCTCGTGTAACACCTAGGACAACTGATTCATCATCTACAACAACTCCACCAACACAAGGTAAATTCATTTAATTAGATTATTTTAACTGAAGGAATTTATTTAAAAACTTGTAAAACATTATATTTAATAAGTAAATATTATTTTAAACTAATTACCTTTATTGTTTTTATTATTATTATTATTATTATTGATGTCTTTAAATAAATATATTTTTGGTAAAAATGTATTAAATTCAGTAATTTTTCAACCGTAGAATTACTTTCACAATTTTTTTTTTCCTCCTGTGAAATATTTCAAACTGATAATTTAGTATAAATTGTTGATTTCAATCTTGATTAATTATATATATATATATAAATAAAATAATTCTTTAGCTTAACTACAAATGTCCTTCTTTATTGTTTAATACTTATTGAATAATCAATAAATAAATAACTAATATCTATTATTCTTATCAATAAAGATTATATATTACACTATATATTTTATAATAGGCTTAGCTCGCGGACGTTGGGATTCTACCCCTCGTATGGACCCATTTTTACCATGCAGTTCACACCATTTTGAACCAAATTTAAGACCGGTGGTATTAGCTAGGCGTGCTGCTCAAGGCACTGACAGATCCACATCTTCTGCCACAAGTGGAAACTCAACTACAGATACTTCTTCTCCAACTTCTCCTAATGAAGTAAGATCTTTTACTAGTCGACGTCCAGGTCGATCAAGAACTCGTTATTTACAAGAGCCTGATGGAATTCTGTCTGGTATACATCCGATTCTGACTTGGGGAAGACAACGTAACAACACAGCTACAACATCTGCAAGCAATATTGCCCAGGCTACTGGACAGGGTACAAGTTTAACTGATGCTTTGGCTGGACAAATAAGTAATTTTTTTATGTATCTTGATTTAATTGTCATAATAATTTTTTTTTATTCATGTTGAATAAAAATATARTATATTTTTTTAACTGAAAAAAAAATCAAAAAGACATGTTTCTAGTAATATAATATTCATATTTTTCTATGTTTGTTGTATACTAAAATAGTCATATGTTAATATGAAAACATAAACAATTTTAATTTAAATTAATTTTTCTTAATTCTATTCTCTTATCCATTTATTTACAAGTCTGACTTATTTTAGGAGTTGGAATGGAAAGTGTTTTTGACACATTGGAAAGAGAAGTAGATTTTGATAGAACCAGAAACTTAAATTTACCACCTACAAGCAGTTCAGTACCAGTAAGTAGACATTTATTGTGTGACATATTAGTATGATTGATCTTATAATACACAAATAAGCCATTCTATTGTTAATAGTGCAATGTCTAATTGCATTCAGCCGTTAAACATTGCTGTATTCTATTGCATTTTAAAGGGGTAAACATAGGACGAGTGCTGTTTTGCTATACGTTCTATAATAGGTGATAATATTTTTTTTCGACTATAAATAACGCTATACAATCTACAGATTCTTGCTTTACTATTAATTAGGTTTCCAAATAAACACCCGTATGGCTTATCTATATATTATAAAATCATTGGTATGCTCCCGAGTTTTTATTATAACTCCTATTAAATGTATTTATTTTTCCTGTATTCATTTCTAAGATGTTTTGCAGAAATTTTCTCCACTGTTCTCTTTTACTTGCCTTCCTTTTAATATTTTGTACAAATATCATCCTTCATCAATCACTATTTTTTTTTTTTTTTTCAAGAATTTCATTTGTAGTCTTCCCCTAAATATTTTAATTTTCAAAAGGATATTCTATTTTAATTAAGAGCTGTATCGTATTGGTGCATATAATTGAGCTGTGAAACTTGACGAGATCTGTAGAATTACTCAATTGTTCTGATTGGTGGATTGGTTGCTGTTTTACAATAGCATGCATTGTGAATTTGACCGGTTTTTGTCTGCCGCCTGATGCACTCTTATTTGGAATAGAATTAATATAACTAATTTAAGCAATCTACCATATATCAGTGAGCAGCCAATCATAAATTTAATGTTTTTTTTAATACTTGATCTTTTTCTAATACATTAATCATAGATCACCAAATCTAGACCTTTCTTCTGTAGTGCCACATCTCGAAAGATTATCCCTACAGTTTTTTAGTAAACATAATAATTAATAATGCTAATGAAATATTTTAATTTTGATTATTTGATTTTTAACTAAAATGTTTACATCTGAGTTTATTAATGTTGGGTTTTCATTATATTTTGAATAGGGTTTTGAGCATTCAATGAGTACATCCACCTCTCAATCAACTTCACGTCTACCAAATGGAGTGCTTACAACTCCTATTGGTGAAATACCGTACTTCAGAAGTTTAGAGGGTCAATCTATGTTGGTAGACTTATTCTTGATAATTGCTCGTAACTGGACTTTACGTGACATGTTCAGTGTGAATTTGATGTCACAAACTTCAACACTTAGAACTAATCCAGTTGCTTCACATTCTGAAGAATTAATAAACTTCATATTGGACAGAATTATGCTTAATCGACCAGTTAACAATCAAAATATCGAGGATGCTGCCAATCGCATATTTTTAGAAATCGTGCCATACATAAATATTTTTGTAAGTGAAATATATATTTATTATTATTAAACTAATTTTATAATACAATTAAAACAATTTTTTATTTATGAATACATTAGCAATGTACTGTGCCAACACGTACAAATATTAATGTGAATGCATCTTTCCGGCGGTGTATTCTTCAAAATCTACGTACAATTGTTAACTTCTGTGATGAAAGTAAGATTTTTATTTGCTTTATAATATTTATCAATTTTTATTGCAGTCAATTATGTGAAATTTAGTATTTTTTCTTGTTAAACTGCTTCACACAACAATTACCACGGTTTATTGATGTTTCTATCGTGGTGATTTTAAAATTTAAGAATAAATTATCAAGTTAATGTAGTATTAAAATTTCAAAAGGACTTATAAAAGACAATATTTTTATAACATTTACTCTTTGAGAACTTAAAACAATATAATACTATAAATCTCACTGGTAGAGTTTACACTGAACACAATTTTATTTTAAACAAAATTATCCATCAATATATTAATTTTAAATGTTTTTACTTAACATCCTAAAACAGTGAATTTGCATTCAGCATTTCCACTTTGTGAAATTAGTTTTAATTATAGAGAAATATTGATTAATTATCAATCTTAAAAGTATGATCATATTTATATCATCTTATGATGTTTTTTTTATACGATATTTAAAAAATATATAATTTTATTAATTGTAATATTGAAGCTAACTAAACAAAATTTATATGATATATATATAGTATAATTAACCAGAAATGATACAAAATGTAGTGTGATGCTACATTACCAAAAAACCCATATTTTATCTATAAATTTATTAAACTTAGCTTAGACATAATATAATAGGCCTCACATTGTCTTTCTCTTTTGCACATATGTTGGCTTCAATGTATTATAAATTTGAATATTCAGTTGTCTCGCTGGCCTAGTATCCTCTTAATTGTAAATAATACAATTTATTTTATTTTATTTCACAAATCAATGTACGTTCATAAATATAACAATATAAATTTGGAATGATCAAGTCTCCAGAAGCCTCAACAGTATTATCTGTGGATAAAATTATACTGGTTTTATTGTTCCGCTGTGGACCATATGAATACATTTAAGATTAAATCTGTAATGGTTTTACTTAATAGTTTATATTATGAAACAAAGATAAGAAATAATTTAAACTTTCTCAAACAATTCATATGTTTTAGATCGAATGGGAGCTGTTGATAGTATTGTGCATTTATTGTCTATATTTGCTGAAGGATTTTTATCATTGATAGTTTATTGCTGTAACAGCCGCCCTATATTTCGGTTATGTGTTTCTGCAGTAATGGTAATTAATTAATATTCTTATTTTAAAATATACTCAGTTATCATGTTCAAAATAATTTTAGCAATACTTGCCACTTCCTACAAATTTACACCTATTAATAATGGATGAATTACGTACAAATATTGACCAATATTGGGAAAGAATGACCACTTTTCAAATGATGAGTTTATCTGTAGTTGATGACTATATTGTACCATTCGACGAATCTTCTCAACATTTAAGAGCGGTCAGTACTGATACCTATTTGTGTTATTGAAAAWTTTTAAAATTGAATATAGTGCAATTTATGCAATTTATATATTTTTTCTGTTATGTAGAGTAATAACGGAGAACAATCTTCCAATCCTTCTATGCCTTCTCCCGAAAACGAACCATTACCCGAAGTTGTTATTGGATCTCAAGATTGGCATCACAATGTTCCTTCAGTGAGTTTTTAAAGAATTAAACATTTTTGATATGAAAAAATAAATATTAATAGGAGTTTTCTAATTTACAGGAATGGGTTCCAGTTATAGCTAGAGATTCACAACGCCAAAGACGTCAAGGAACACAGCCACCTTATAGTGATGCATATTTATCCGGTATGCCCAACAAACGCAGGAAGATAGTGACAAGTTCTAAGCCACAAGGGTCTTTATCTCAAATAATAGCAAGTGAGTTGATTCAATTCATCTATTTATAATGTAAACTCTATTCAAGTTAAATTTAACACATTTGCTTCGGATTTTACTCATAAACAGAATAAACAATAATAATTGATAATATTGTGGACAATTTTTATTATACTTATATAAATAATCAATGTAACATGCTCAAATATACTTAATAGATTTGCATATTAACGATCTAAACTTCATGAGATAAATCTGTTATTAATCTCTGGTAGAATTCTGGTTGTGTAAAATAAATATACTGTCATAGAAAATCCGAGCTTTATTTATAACCATTACAAATACAGTGGAACCTCGATAACTCGAACCTTATAAGTCAAATTTTTGATAATTCAAAAGAAGGCCTTGGCCCCGGCCTTACAATATATGATATGTGTGATAAATTTTCTCGATAATTCGAATTTTGCTAACTCGAATTTCTCTACAAGTCAAAATATTTTTATTCGAATTTTGGCTTATACCTCGAATTTATATAATATAATATGTACATATAACACGTTCATACCTTGATAACTCGAAGGTCAAATAACCAAGTGTATTATTATAAATTTATAAATAACAATAATCAAGTAATGGCAACAATGTGGCATTCTATACAAGCCATAATTATCATTTACTAGTCATTATGTTGGATCTAAAATGTCCCAACTCCATTCCAATTCATGTCTCCATTTTATGATTTGATTATCATGACCAAGTTTTGAGTGAAATCTAGAAAATATACTTTTAAATTATACTGATTTAATTGTTTATAAAATTTGTTTAGAAAATTTGGAAGTTGCCATGGGTGCAGCCGGCGTAGCCATTAATACAGAAGTGATAACAAGTGCTGGAGCTGATACTGCTGTACAGAATGCATATACCGAACGTATTAGGACATTTGGAAGATCTGGACTAGATACACATCCTGATTTTTGTCCTACTCGTTATCCAAATGCTTCAAAATTCTTTTACGATCATAATCATACAAATTAAACAATTTTATGCAAACAAAAAACTAACTCCAAAAAACTATTGGTTTTAATTTATTATTTATTTTTTCTTTAAAACCCTATAATAGACTGACATGTTAAAAACAAGAAAAATCTGATGCTATGTTTTTATTATTATTGGAATTTACTCATTCTCAGGTTACGCGTGAATGAAATTTGTACTTTTTATTATAATTGAATAAATACCCSTTTTAGGCTGACCATGCCATGTCATTTTTTTGGTTAGATAGTGTATTGTAAGGTGTTGGCAATTAATTTAACATCATTTAATGGCTATTTATAATGCTTTTTACAACACTATATATACATAATTTAATGTTATATACCTATTATATATAAAGTTAAATATTACTATTATTTGGATTGTTTGGATTGTCAAGTTAATTATTTCTTTAAATAATTTTATTGTACTTTAAGATTAAATAACAAAAATATTATTAATTTAAAAGAAGTAAATTTTACAGTTTATAATTATCTAGATAAAATTATAATAGGTAAATTATTTTGGWTTTTAAATTTTAATGTTTAATATTGTATTTTTAAATCATACTTATAATATATCAAAAGATAACTTTCAATTTTATTCACTTTTAACTGAATACAATATTGTGTTTTCATGTAGCAACATTTATAGTTGTATAACAAAAAAAGTTAGTTGTAAGTTTTCAAATATAACCAATAAATGCATTAAATGTTCTCCAAAACATATATTTTATTCATTTCAATAGTCTAAGTTTTCCGGTAACAGGCTTTAGTTCTTGATCAGATCCAAAAAAAGCCAATGCAGTGAATGAATTGGGTTCTACTTCAGTTAAACCTGCATCATGAACACAGAAAAATGGGATTTTGAGTATTTTTCCTTCTGAACACACTTTAATAAGTTCATTAGTGTTCTTAGCTGCAACAACAATTTTTCGACTTCTGAAAACATAATTTATAATTTAGTGAATTTTAGCGCACTAGCGCARCTATTTTTCTTCAGTAACATGCTTTTGAAAAATAGGTTTTATTCTGAAATTACAAGAGTTAGTGTGATACAACCTATTATAAACTGAAAAATGACAGTATTATCTTCAGTATCACATATTTATTTGGCATGTTTTTCTCCTCTCTCTGAGCCGTGTGCCACATACCAAATTTTTATGTTTGCAATAATGATTATAATACAGGGGTCGTTGCAGTGACACGACCATGGCACTCAAGACAAAATATTTCTTAATTAATTCTAGGTATGATTTTATTKACTGAAATATCAGATATCTTGTATTTATTTTGATGAACAAAATTTTATTATACAAAAAATGAGCAAACACTATAATGGATGCTGTATTTTTGTTTTGTGGGTGTAATCTGTGCTCGTTATTCATGAGATTACCAACAATGCTGAAAGTATCATTGTCTAGAACTTGCAAAGCAATAAAATATGTTTATATTAATTTTAATCAAGAAAATGTAAATACATATTCATTTTTTTCATTACATGYTAGTATTTTATTAATTATTAGGTATAATTTTTGTTTTTGATAATATATATTTTGAGGTTTTTTGCACATTTATGATAATATAATTTTTTTTTTGTTATATAAATATATATAAATCTGAGCCCTAATATTATGATTATAATCATTATTTTGAACATAAAAGTTGGTATATTGTGCGTGGATCCAAGAGAAAAAAAATGTGCTGACATTCTCTTTATAATTTGAATTGGATTTTGGACAAAGTTATTTGAGTGGAGAAAAAAGGTATGTAGATTTCTATAAAAATTGATTTGAAAATTATCTATTGATTCTATAAATAAAATATATTGATTCAATCTTACCCTTGTTCATTCCAAGTAATTAAATCATAGCTTAGATCWGCACGTTCTCTCATCACTTCATACAAGCCCAATGCAGCATGTGCAGCCTACAATATAGAAAATCAAAAAATTATAATTTAAAAGGACGTATCACTGGCATTTGTTGTCTACGTCTTACAAGTGCATAACAGCAAATTTACGTTCGACAGATTTCATGTAGCTTTGTAAGTTTAAAAACTAAAGTGAATAACCTATTACGAATCATAATGGTAAGAACATTATGTGTGATTATGTGATTATGTACGTGCCACGTGGGTTATCCAAAATAATTAAATTTTTAATTCATTTATAAGCATTTTTAATTTATGCTATACAGCCTGATTCACCACGCATACTTAATGTGACCATAACTTTTTTCTTTAAAGCGGGACACCTGCACATTTTATTAAGAAACCATATAATTTTTCTATATTTGTCGGACCAACAAATCTGCATTAAAGTGGCCTGTTTGTTTTTTATTTATGAATGGATTACTTGACTTCTGTTACTCTTTGTTATAACAATAGCTTTTAATACACAGACTAATAACAATCTATGGATGATGGGTTTTAGCGTTTTAAGGTTTATATAAATTATGTAGATATATGTATACTGTATAAGTATAGTAYAAATGTATGATTGAGATATGTGATCAATAAATACCTACCACAAGTCAACTTTTCTTAAAGCGGGATATTTTTAGGTTCTTCGGGGACAGCGGGACACTTAGCTGGAAAGTAGGACTGTCCTGCCCAAAGCGGGATGTATGGTCCAATACGCATGCTCACCCCCTTTTTTTTGATAATGCAGTTATTCAAAATCTGATTTTTAGAATCTTTAAATATATTTGAAACCATATTATTTTCAAATTCTCAAAATTTTTTGGACATTTAGTGTGTCCTGTAGCAATACAAACTTTTGTTTTTAAATGATAATCTTAAGTTTTTACTCTAAATTATTAAGCCGATAATTTTTTTGAGAATTTTGATCAAAATTCTAATGAGTAGTTTTTCAGTTATTTAACTTTGTGTTCTAAGGATAAAAGGTGAAAAGGTCCATAGCTTAAGTTTATAAGATATGTGGTCTATGGCGGATTTGAAAATATTAGTCATTACTCATTAGTCATTAATATTAATCTATCAACATAAATATTAGTTTCAAAAGTATATCTATTTTATACTTTAGTAAAACGAGTTTTAAAGACTATTAACCTTATTACAAATCTTTTAATTACTAGAAAACTACTCGTTCAAATTTTTAATAAGGTGCATCAAAATTAAAAAAAAAATTATCTACTAAATATTTTACAGTAAAAAAAGGKTGGATTTTCATTTGAAAAATAGAAGTTTGTGCCACAGGACACTCCTTAGGTAGTACAAAAAATTTCAAGAATTTGAATATTATTCATTATTAAAGGAAAAAATCGGGGTGAGAATGTTTGGCGAATCACCACTTAATACATAATACCGACTGAGTGTAAATACTAAATTTGCCATATAATGCACTTTTATGATGGATACAACAAATGTCAGTGTTACATTCCCTTGACAATTAAGAGGACGTGATACCCGCGTGTGTTGTCTCCGTCTTACAAGTGCATGATATAGTAAATTTTACGTTCGGYAGAACACGTGTAGCTCCGTTTGCTTAAAAATTAGAGTGAATTGACCTCTTATAAAATTTAAAGGTATGATTGTTATCTAGACAACCTCATATTATTTTTATTATATTTAAATTTTAAAGCAAGTTATGAGTATTTTAAGATGCACAACAAATTTACAATTTTAAAATACTCATTACTCGTTTTAAATTTAATATAAAATAAAAAGCATATGAGGTTGTCTAGATAATAATCTTACCTTTAAATTTTATAAGAGGTCAGTTCACTCTAATTTTTAAGCTAACGAACCTACACATGTTCTGCTGAGCGAAAAATGTACTATGTTACGCACTTGTAAGACGGAAACATCACATGCGGATATCACGTCCTCTAAACACGTTTACTGCCATGCGGCTGCCGACGTCCGTATAAAAATAATTAGGTATTGATAATTTTTAGACTGCCGGGCTACCGCACCATATCATTCCTAGGAGGCAGCACGCTGCCGTAAATTAATTTGGATTTATAGTATTAACTTTTCTGTGGCGCTACAATAATGATCTTGAAAATACGCTGTGGTGTAGTGGGAATAATTGCAATATTTTTGATGTAATAAACATAATTTTAACATTTTTTTTTGTACTTTAAAAATTTTTTTTTCAAATTCAAAAGTATATATACAAATAAAAATGTATAATGACACTGAAAAATGTCTTTGGCGTACCCATGATAAATATTCTTGAGGCCGCCGGCGGCMACATGGCATTCAACGTGTTAAAGCTATACGAAATATGAATGTTTTGTTATTTAAGTATATTATTTTTTTGGTATATATCTAC